AATTGGTGACTTTTACCTGCAAGCTATTACATGCATCTCCAATGAGATCAAGCTATAATGATTTGTCTAGTCATAGAACGTAGTACGTATACGCAAAAAAATATAGCGCCCATACGCCAAGTTATTATTCAAGTATTTCAACCTAGCTAAATCAAAAAGAAAAGAAAAGAAGAACTAGTCCGTATCTTCAACGAAAGACAATTCGAACAAAATCAAGCACACAGGTATCGGAGATTCAGCACACAAGAAACATAATCGAGATCAACAATGAGGTCCAAAGAGGCAAAAACCAACTTTGACATGCAAGAGACTGGGGAGAGAGAAAACGCATAAAGAATGTGCCATGGAAGGGGAGGAATAGATACTACTAGACCCAAAGATTAGAAGATGTGGCAAAGAAGAGACAAATGAGCACAATTTGGTATCATGATCATGAACACGTGATTAAGTAGGACATGGTTGGGTCATAGATGGGGTGATGGAATGAATGATTGGTTGTTGGTTCATGAGATAGGCATTGATCGTGTTTTGTCGTTCGTTTTTTTGTTTAGGATTTTTCGTCTTTAGATGATTTGGAGGTAGTTGCTCGGGACTAATCCGGTTCGGCTGCGTGCGGTGGTGATTTCGGCTTCCCACCAGCCGTCGTCTTGGAGGCGGATTACTGAAAGGACGTCGCCTTTGCTGAAGCCTAGCTCTTCGGGGATGGCGGCGGTGTAGCTGTACATGGCTCGTGCTGCAGGCAAGGTTAGCCGATTATTGCTATGGGGTTGGAGAGGAAGGGGTATTTACCGAAGTGAAGGATGGGTCGACCGTCGCGGCTGAATTGTCTGCTGGGATCGGCAACAGCGACTGTTCTGCTCCTGGACCGACTCCTCACGCTCGCGGCCTCGTCGTAGTATGACATGGGTCTACCGCTGCCGCGTCGAGAGCCGTACCCGTCACGACTGCCAGCATACATGTCGGGTTGTCCGGAAAGCTGAAGCTCCATGCCTCCGGCGCTGGATGGCCGGGTTTGTTGTCTGAATTGCGGCTGTGGTGAGACGGCACGGGGCACTGTGTTCTGAGGCTGTCTGTATTGAGGCTGCGGGGACACGCCGCGCGGTGCCATGGTGGGAGACTGCCGGTATTGTGGCTGAGGAGACACGGCACGCGAAGATCCTCTTCGGGCATATTCTGCAGTTGGAGATGCATCCACGGGACGCTGGGATGGGGATGGGACGGTTGGCGATTGGTTATACCGGCTTCTCATGCTGCTGCTCGAATGGTAGGTTGGACTAGGGCTAGCCGCTCTACTGTATTGCCCCATGCGGGTGTCAACTCGAGGGCTGGCATGAGGGCTCGCACTTCGTCCTGGACCGGGTGAACGAGCCCGGGTCGCCTCCTGGGACTGTCCACCGTGTCGGCTTGTCATTGAAGGGGGCTTGCTCGAGCCACGAAGCATACTCTGGGCCTGGCCAGTGTATCTCTGAGTTGTTTTCTGCATCTGCGCTGACGTGAATGCGGGTTGCGGAGCGTCGAGGCGTTTCAGGGATGAATCGTTGTAAGCGGGGGGAGGTGTGCTCACAGCACCTGGGTTAGCAGCTACCGGTGGCACTGGAGTTGCAATCCCGTGGTATCTGTCAGCAGATACACGAGTGGTTGATTGCTTCCCTGCTACTTTCAGATCTGCAAGAGCCCGGGCAATCGGATCGAGTTCCTCTTCACCAGCCTTGGCTGCTTTCGATGGGGATCCCTTCTTATCCTTGTCAGGGGAGTCCACATCAAAAACATTGTTTCCAACATTAAGCTGGAAGTTTGCCCTTGGATCCACGGGCTCGGGGCTTCCAGATACTCGGTCGGGGTCGGGAACCGATATTGGCTGTTGGGGTTGAGGAGCTTTAACGGGACTGGTAGACTTTGACGGTGACTCCCAAGTGCCGCGAGAAGGTGGTTGAGACGGTCCAGACTGGCGGTCTTTATCATGGCGACTCTTCCGTCGGAAGGGACTGTTGCTGAAGAACGCACTCCTCTTCTTTTGTACCTGTTTGTCTGCCCCTAGGCCTGGAAGGGCTACACCATTCGTGGGTTTCGTGGGAGATTGTCTGGCACTTGGTGGCTCCTGACTCGACATCGATGTAGGGTTTGACACTTCGCTCTGGGAATCCCGACTGGATGGTCGGTAGGCGCTATTGGATCCCGAGCTGCGCTCTGAAGGCGGACCTGTCCTGCAGAACATGGTCATACCATCGGTCGGATAAGCGTTGTGTGGCACCTTCGCAATTTCACCATGCTGGTTGGGGTCATAGTTCGGTGGAAGCTGACCGCCGCGCCGTAGGTCCAAGGGAGCGGGTTGCTGCATCGGTTGTTGCATTTGTTGCGGCATCTGCTGAGGCATTGGCTGTGGCATAGGTTGCTGCACGGGTGGCTGCATTGGCGGCTGCATAGGCTGCTGCACTGGCGGATGCACCGGCTGCTGGATTGGCTGGTGCGGCTGTTGCTGCATCGGTTGCTGTGGTGGTTTTTGCGGAGTGATTGTAGCTTCCCTGCTCGAAGGAGTGGACGGGCCGTTTATCTTGGCTGCAATCTCAGCATCGGGATCAATTTGGGGCTCGTACGAAGAAGGCTGCGGTGATGAAGTGCGATATGCTGGGTTTATCGTCCGTTGGAACTGGGCTACCGAGTACCCTTCTTCTTCAGATACTTCCGAGCTGGTATCGTTGATGTCGCCCCGGCAAAAGTTGATAAACTTGGGTGGGTCAGGAATGTCCTGACCAGTTCCTTTCTCTTTGATGAAGTAGATTATGTCCTTTTCAACTTCGCAGTCTTCCAGGGAAAGTCGGATTTTCTCGCAGGACTATTGATGATTAGCGGAATCCGGGAAGTTGGGTTGATAGAACGTACCGCATCGTCACTGACGCAGACAGTTGATGCAATATTCGCATACGTCCATAGACTGCTTTTTGTAAAGTCAAGTCTCTCTTCCTCCAGATCTTGGAATTTCTGGAACAACTCATCAGTATTCAAAAGTCAAGTTTGAAGATAAGTTGCCGATCGCACGTACATCACAAGCTGCCTTCCACTCCTTGTTCCAGCGTGTAGTAGTTTCTTCGAGAATTTTAATAGCTGCTTCATACTCGCTACTGCTTGATGCCAGCTGTATTTGCGTTTTCTCCAATTTCGCTTTGTTCTTACGCTCTTCGTGGCCCATGACCATGTGCCCTTGAGCCAAATAACCCTTGATCCGCAGGCAATCTTGTTCATACCGATCTCTGGTCTGCTTTGTTCAGTACGGTCTTGTGCACTTTTCCATGGGCAGGGCAATCTACCTTGTTGACAGTCTGAGTCTGTTGGATTTTAGTCTTCAGAAGACGCTCAATACCGTTCTGTATGATCTTTCTTCGCTCCTTGGAACCACCGGCGAAAGCAATCAATGGCTCCTCTAGCTCCCTCTTCATCTGGCCCGCAATTGCTGCGTGGGCCTTGGCAATAGCCTCAGTCTCACCGCGGACGGTATCGAAGGACGACCGGAGGGAGCCTATCTCTGTTGATCCTAGTGGCTTGCGACATAGTGCTAGAAGCTTTCGCGCGTACTCATCCTCGATAGCAGCCCGTACTAATCATCCTGTTAGAACACAAACAAGCCTCTTACTGAGCCCAAGATCGGCCGACGTACTGTTGTAGAATGTCTTTAACTCATCACACGATACTTTCGACGTGTGCATTCTATCCAACATTGGCCCAACACCCGCGTCTTCCTTGCCCCAAAAGTTGTTGGCAACTGTAGAAGTCGAAGTGTTAGCTGGACATGGAACTCGCTAATCGAATGTCGAGGTACTATACAGGACATGGCCACTGTTGGCCCATCTGCAACTGTGCCCGGCATTTTGGCAGATTATAGTCCGGTAAAAGTGTAGAGCTTCGGCCAGCCTTTGCTCATCTGGTTATCGGTATCTAGGGATATGGACAATTTGAAAGGTAACGCAGAGCGAGCTGTAAAAATGTTGAACAACCCGAGAACCCCACGGCGACGGAAAACCAAACGAAGATGGCAACCTGGATGCCCCTGGAGAAGCAAGATAAAGAACCAGAATTCAGAAAGAAAGAATGGAGAAAGCAGTACAGATGGAACTGGATCTGGTGGAGTTAGCCACAAGCTACGCTGTGGAATGGAGATGGCTGACGCTGTCATGTTTACACTGGCGTGTCTCTCGGGGCAACCGGCGGTAATATCACGGGGCAGCGTCAGGCAGCCCAATGACCACCTCATCTTCCTCGAGGGCCCATCAAGGGATATCCGCCGGTGGCTATCATTCTCTCCCAATGAACGGAACCTGACGAATGGTATGGATTCTTGTTCCTGTGACGCCCTTCCCACACTTTATTTGCGCCCTTCCTTGGCTTGTAGGGTTTTAAAAACCCTGAGGTCGGTCGGTCATTATCCATCCATGGATGTGGCTGGTCCCGAGGTCTCACTGATGGCGCGCGAAGAACGCAATTTACCCATACATTCATTCTTCCTTTCAAACCCTTTATTAACACCTATTCTGCTCTTGGCAAAGTAGGATATATCTAGTGCTGTGGATCGTATACGTGGTTCTTCGAAAAGTGTTGAGAGAAGCAGCTCCATTGCGATAACTCGCCATTATCTACACTAGGTCTGCTCGAGCGGAAATGTCGGTGACCATGTTGAGGGTGTCGGGCATCAATTATCGAGTAACTCTGGGGACAACCGTCAAGAGGGCATCCCGGTTCCCCCATTTTTGGACTTTTGAGAGAGAGCGTAGATAACTTTACCTTGACTGTAGATAACCCGATTGCAACCTTCAACCCAGGAACACCCGATGACTCAGCGGTTATCTAAGCCACCGCATTGGTCCCGTCATGCTCACGTGCCCGGGACCCCCAGCCGCACTTGCCTAAACGTAGTGGTCAGTATGCAGGAGAGACAAAGCTGGAGGTCGAGTCCGGTCGCTCGCCTACGCACTTTGCCCAAAACTATATTGCGCGTCCTTTCCACTGGTCGTTAATCTCAGCTTGAGAACCCCTAAAATCGTGATTGCCGGTTTGAGAATTTCTATCTCTCTGCCCGTATTTCACCACACTTCCCCCCCTCAAACTTTGGATTGATCGACATCCCCTACCTACTCTCTTCAGTAAGTGGGAGGAGCAGGACGCAGCTCTCTTTCGCTGCCTAAGGCCATCTAGTGTAGACTCCTCAGGCACCTCCCGACCCGCACGTCCACTCAACCTCGCTTTCTCTGCCCGTCATTCACACCCATCGGAACTTCCATCCTGTGCCACGAAGCAACATCCTCCTCATTGCCATCGGTCTCTGCTCTTCCGCTGCCAGAATCCGTCGCTCTGTTGCACGTCTCACGATTGTTTTCCATCAATTTTGGCTTCGACTTTGCTTTTATTCTGTTGCAAATAATAAAAATTTGTCGCTCGCCTTCAGATCAAATGATCGCGTCTCCTAGATGACCTTCCCTCCCCCTCCTCCTTCCTCCCAATCGTCGATTGCTTCTGGCACCGATAAATCCTCTTCGACCAGGCCGGCAAGGTCACAGCAATCTCCTTGGGGTCCGTCCGTGTCCCAGTCTAGTGTTCGGCGTGGGTTGACTCCACTTGCGACCAACAACCTCTCCTCACTCGCCTCAGCTTCTCGGGGGCCACCTCAGTCCAACAGTCCTGGTCCAGGTGGTTCAACCGCGTCTCCTTTGACTTCCTCCTTTTCCGCCGTTCTGAGCTCCGCTAGGGGCCATCCTGTTGGTCGGAACGTACCCTCGCCAGCCTCCACGCCCTCACCGTTCGCCTCCTTTCAATCTGGCTCGCAACAGCACCAACAACCTGGGCAGTCTCTCTCCTCACCTAAATTCAGAGCTCACACCCCGTCTTCAGGGTCACATCTGGCTTCCGCAGCGGGTTCTGTCGCGGGTGGAGGAGGCTCCGGGGGAGGCGGAGGTGGGACGGGATCTTCCAGAGGCGCCACCTTCTCTCCGTTGTTGTCCGGTACAACCGTGAACTCACCTACGGGATTTCCCTCTGACAAGCCGGGATCGGCAGCTTCAGGCTCTGCTGCGCACGCGAGCCAGTCGTCGTTGACGAAGATATCAGTCGCACAGGTTTTCCTGCTCCTAGATTCTATCACAGAGAAAGAGGGTAGAGAAAAGTGGGAGACCAAAGCTGCTCAAATTCATAAGGTAAGTACATCAGATCATAGCGTCGCAGACGTCAACCTCCTCTCTACTATTTGTTGTATCAGTACGATGCTGACTTGGTACCAGCTTGTTGAGTCGAACGGAATGGAGGTCTTTTCCAAATACTTTCGCCGCTTGCTTACGGGCAATGCCCCGCAGATTTTCCCCGGGGTCAACAAGTCCGTGGAAAATGCTGGCAATTATCCGCTCCTAGTTCAGGAGATGCAAAAAGTGTCTCAGGATATAGAACAGGCCCAGAAGATCGCAGAGACGGTAGATACATCCGAGGGAGATATCTTCCGCGATTTTGATCTCTCCACATTTTTGGATCACTTCAAACTCGATCCTCTTGTGAAGGTTTCTCTCGCGCTGGCCTTCAAAACCGCTAATAAGTCGGACTTGCGTGCTAAAGGTGAGTCATTAGTCCGAATATCAAACTGCGTCCTAAGTCAACTGACGAATGCTTTCCAACAGCTGATGCGATAATTTCCAATTCCATAACACCGTTCCTGCAAAGTCTGGCGACGCTGTCTGATGTCAGCAAGGATTACAAGAATTCTTTCATTGGCATGACTATCGAGCGGTTCATACTGTATCCGCCTAGGAATTTCACAGATGAAGTGAAGGGGAAATTGGTGTATGCGGCGAACTTGCGCTATCAGAAGCTGGGCGTGGACATGCCATTTGAGGTTGCGTCTGCTCTTCAAATGTTTAATTTCATTAACCCCAGGTATACCCTTGTCCGCCAACTTCACTCAAGAGGACCGAAAGCAACCTCAAATGCCGACGCCGTCACTGAGACGATAAACTCAACTGGGTCCGAGTGCTGGGGCGAAGAGCATATTGCCAGTGCGCTGCTTTTCCTTGTGCTCTCTCAGCATTGGCGCGAGTTCTCTCTGGAGACATTCCTCGGGGCTGTTCAGGCACACTATGGCGAGAAGCGAATCAACTGGTCTCTTATCTTCCGGAGCTTCGACCGTGAGGGCTTGAGGCTTGATACTCGACAATTCGCAAAGCTGTATGCGGTCCTGTTGGCTGCTGCTACGGATGACCCATCCCTGGATATTCAGAAGCTTTGGGGTGGTGATTGGGAGCATCGTGATACACAGATGTCCTTCCTGACTGCTTTCATTGCTTCCAGGACAGATGTATCCCAAATCCCCAACCTACGTGCCACCTTTCCCTCCGACTTCTTCGCCGATGGTCCCGAGCTCGTTCGCTTGCAAGGCGAACGTGCTGCAAAGTCACCACTCCGGTCCTTGGACGCTATGAGAGCCATATTCGATCTGGCATTGTTTTCCCAAGCATCTTGGGCCGCCGCGGAGAGCCAACTGATGATCAAGGCGGTTGTTCAGTACGATCTACCCGTTTTCTTGTGCTCGGCTCTCTCTCTCCCTCAGCCTTGGACTAGTGTGCAGCAGAGCTTTGTCCTTCGAACTTTGATAGTTTTCATACTCAAACAAGAGGAAGGATATCATTTGGCACTGCATGGGGCCTGGCATCAAGATCGGCAGTGGGTAGCAGAGCAACTCTTCACAACTTTCACGCAGGACCCGACATCTACTGCTGCCATCTATGAACATGCTGTCGAGTTTGGTTGGCTCGACTATCTCCTGGGATATACGAATGGTCTCGCTATGGATCTTGCTTGCTACGCTCATCGTAAAGGGCCCTTCGACCTGGAACAATGGGTTCGTAATGCGGCACAGAAAGGCCCTATGGATATGGGAAGCCTACTATCCAAGTTCCTGAGGATTAAGGCAGAAGACGAGCTTCACGTCCAACGGAAGGAACAGTCGGCTCCCCAGATGGTTAGTCTTGCGGTCAAAACGGTGTTCACGTTGCTGTCAGTTCTCGAAGAATATGTCGGTGACCGCGAAAATCTTACTCCTGTCCAACGGATATGCATTCAGACTTATCCGCGACTCATCAACTACGGAGAAGGTTTCGACGACATCATTGACACCAACGGGGAAAACGGAAATTCGTTGCCTGAGGCAGTTGATAAGCAGATGCAAGAGCTTTTCGGCAAGATGTATCACGAGGAGCTCTCACTCAGGGAAATCCTTGAACTGATGAGAAGATACAAGTCCTCCCGTGAACCAGCCGAGCAGGACCTATTCGCTTGTATGGTGCATGGTCTTATTGACGAATACCATTGCTACCATGAATATCCCCTGGAGGCACTTACCAAAACAGCTGTGATGTTTGGTGGCATCATCAACTTCCGGCTAGTGGACGGAATTACCTTGAAGGTCGGCTTGGGCATGATTCTGGAGGCAGTGCGTGATCACGAAATGCATGATCCTATGTACAAGTTCGGTGTCGAGGCGATTGAGCAGTTGATCAACCGTCTTCCTGAATGGGCTGGCTTCTGCCACCTGCTCCTACAAATCCCAACCCTGCAGGGCACTACGATCTACCAGAAAGCCGAGGAAGTTCTGCGTGAGCAAGGGAGTCAAGTTAGGGATGAGCCTGGAAGAGCGGACAGTATTCCGGGTGCTGCCGTGAATGGGAACGTTGACGAGAACGCGACCGCGGATGGATCGACTCGTAAATTTGTTTCCGTTCATGTTGATCCGCTTCTCAGACCTGAGGTCTATCGTGATCCTGATGAAGATGTCCAAGACAAGATTCTCTTCGTATTGAACAACGTGTCTGAACAAAACATTGATGAGAAGCTGCGTGATCTCACGGATGTTCTTCGTGACCAACACCATCAATGGTTCGCGTCTTACCTCGTGGAGGAACGTGCGAAATTGCAGCCGAATTTCCAGCAGCTCTACCTTGACCTGCTGGACCGTATCAATGACAAGCTGTTATGGGCGGAAGTTCTAAGGGAAACCTATGTCAGTGTATCCAAGCTTCTGAACTCCGAAGCTACAATCAACTCATCCACCGATCGCGGTCATCTCAAGAACCTCGGTGCATGGCTTGGATCTTTGACCATAGCCAAGGACAAGCCCATCAAACATAAGAATGTCTACTTCAAGGGACTTCTCTTGGAGGGATTTGATAGCCAGCGCCTGACTATCGTGATTCCTTTCACATGCAAGGTGCTCGTTCAAGCCACCAAGTCCACGGTGTTTAACCCTCCCAATCCTTGGCTGATGGACATCCTTGCATTGCTCATGGAACTGTATCATTTCGCTGAACTCAAGTTGAACTTGAAGTTCGAAATTGAAGTCCTGTGCAAGGACCTCGACCTCGATCACAAGACCATTGAGCCCTCTGTCATCATCCGTGACCGCTCTGCTCACATCGAAGATGCGCTGTCTACGGCCAATATTCCAGATGGTCTGGAGGCGTTCGAGGACATGACTCTCACAAGCATCAATCAAGGAATCCGCCACGAGCGATTGTCGCCCGCTGCCATTATGTCGACTCTCCCGAGCTTGGACAAGATCCTTGTACTCCCGTCGTCTGCCAGCAGCATGGTGGACCCGAATGTCCTTCGGCAGATAGTGCACAGTGCGGTCGAGCGTGCCATCGCGGAAATTATCACTCCCGTTGTGGAACGCTCAGTTACCATCGCATCTATCTCCACCGTCCAACTGGTGTCGAAGGACTTCGCAATGGAGCCTGATGAGGAAAGAGTGCGTCATGCGGCTGGCATAATGGTTAGGCAACTGGCTGGTAGCCTGGCTCTTGTGACCTGTAAGGAACCGCTCAAGGTGAGCATGACCAATTACATTCGCATGATCCAGCAAGAGTATTCCGATCAGCCAATGCCTGAGGGGTTGATTCTCATGTGTGTCAACGATAACCTCGATGCTGCTTGCGGTATCGTTGAGAAGGCCGCAGAGGAGAAGTCTCTTCCTGAGATCGAGAAGGTTATCGAACCCCAGTTGGAAGCTCGTCGGCGTCACAGGGCGGCCCGGCCCAATGAGCCTTTCATTGACCCATCAATGAATCGCTGGGGCCTTTTCATCCCCGAGCCTTACCGACAGGCTGCAGGAGGGTTGAACAAAGAGCAACTGGCAATTTATGAGGAATTTGCCCGTCAAGCCCGTGGCCCGGCAGCGGCCCACGTTCAGAATGTTTCCACCGATTCTGGTCGACAGCTTCCAGATGTTCTTCAGGAACCATATTCGCCTATTCCCAATCTCTCTACTCCTGCAGAACAGCCAGCTGTACCCCATAGGACACCACAAGCCCAGCAAGATGCTCGGTTACAGCAGACTGGTCTTGTCGGCGCACAGTCTCAGCTCAATGGCTTCCTTGAGGCACAAAGCCCGCGTGAGAAGGTCGAGAGCATAGTTTCCGAGTTACAGCAGGCAGCTCGGAACGCTCCTGAAGAGCGCATCCGGGACCTTGGCAGGGAGAGTGCTGTCCTCCAAGAGTACAACCAAGCACTTCGCACTATCCTTGCCTCTCCCAACGGTGAAGAACTCGCTCGTCTCACTGGCCTCAGAATCTGTACGACTCTGTATTCGCAGACACCCGGGACATTAGAGATTGAAGTCCTCGCACACTTGCTTGCGAAACTGTGCGATATGTCCACTCTTGTGGCCCGCTACACCTGGGCCATACTTTCTGAGGTTGACGACGAGCACATGTTCAACGTGCCAGTCACGGTTGCACTCATTGATGTCGGACTACTGGATATTCGTCGAGTTGACATGATCTTGACACGTCTTATTCTGCAAAAGAACACTGCTGCCCTGGATGTCCTCTCCAACCTCATGGACCGTGTTCTCTTCAGCGAGGAACCCTCTGCTCTAAGATCTGACTTCTCGGGTAGTCTTGAAGCCATGAGCCAATGGCTTGCGGAAGATTCGGACGTTACTGTGGCCAACGACATCATTCGCAAGCTGCGTGAATCCGGCATTCCCGAAGTCGTCAACCCCCTACTCAGTGACAAGGCCAGGTCCAAGCGTGACCAGATGGAGTATATCTTCAGCGAGTGGATTGGTATCTACAAGGCTCCCGGTGCCATTGATCGCACCTACTATTCTTTCCTCAAGGATCTGCATCAGCGACAGGTCATGGACAACCAAGAAGACTCGGCACTCTTCTTCCGCCTTAGCATCGACATCTCGGTTGCAATGTTCGATCACGAGTCACAGAACCCTAGTGGAAGTCTCGATGAGGCTTTCCTCTACATCGATGCCCTTGGCAAGCTGGTTGTCTTACTTGTCAAGTTCCAAGGCGAGTCTACAGGAGCTGCCAAGACAAGCAAGGCAGCCTTCTTCAATTCTACCCTCTCACTGCTTGTGCTTGTCCTGAACCACCACCATGTCATGAGAGGCGAGGCCTTCAATCAGCGTGTCTTCTTCAGGCTATTCTCCAGCATTCTGTGTGAATATTCCATGAACGGGCTTCAGCAAAGCGATCAGCATCAGGACATGATGTTCGCCTTTGCTAACAAGTTTCTGTCTCTTCAGCCCAAGTACTGCCCAGGATTCGTTTACGGGTGGCTGTCGTTGGTCTCTCACAGATTCTTTATGTCCGGTATGCTGAACATGCCGGAGCGGGCGGGCTGGGGACCGTACTGCGAAATCATGCAGGCGCTGCTCTCTTACATTGGCGAGCAGCTCAAGCCGGCCAGCATTTCATACGTTGCTAAGGACTTGTACAAGGGTGTTCTTCGCATCTTGCTGATCTTGCATCACGATTTCCCTGAGTTCGTGGCAGAGAATCACTTCCAGTTCTGTAACGTCATCCCTGCTCATTGCGCTCAGCTTCGGAACCTGGTCCTGAGTGCTTATCCGTCGTCCTTCCACAAACTCCCGGACCCGTTCAGGGAGGGGTTGAAGGTTGAGCGTCTGGAAGAAATGCGGGAAGCCCCCAGAATCGCCGGTGATACTGCAGGTCCGCTGGAACAGGCCAACATCAAGAGTGCTGTCGACAGTGCACTCCAGAGCACCAATGCATCTGACTCGGTCATTCAGCAGATCTCCGATGCCGTGTACAATCCTCCCACCAAGGAAACCGGCCCCTACTATACGCCGATTAACGTCAACATGGTCCTTTTGAACGCGCTTGTACTTTACATCGGTCAGAGCGCCGTGTCTGCAAATGCGACCAAGGGCAACATTCGCGCGGCCTTTGACAATTCCCCTCACTCGACGCTTCTCGAGAAGCTAGCAAAGGCCTTCCGGCCTGAGGCGCGGTACTATCTCCTGAGCGGCATGGCCAATCAGCTCCGCTACCCCAACAGCCATACCTACTTCTTTAGCTTCGCCATTCTCCGCCTGTTCGGCACCGACTACTCGGAGCAGGACGATTCTGACATTCGTCAGCAAATCATCCGGGTGCTTCTCGAGAGGCTTATTGTCCACCGCCCTCACCCATGGGGTCTCATCATTACCCTGCAGGAGCTGCTTCAGAACCGGAGCTACACCTTCTTCCGTCTTCCGTTTATTCAGGCTGCGCCTGAGGTAAGCTGACCTTTGTCTGAACGGTTTATTAGTTCTTTTCACTGACGTGACATTCCCCACTAGATCGGCCGTCTGTTCGATGCTCTCCTGCAGCACATCCAGCAACAGAGCCCGCGGGCCATGGCTTGAGTGATCGCCAACCTATACTCTCTCCTCTATCTTCTTCCACTATATTAATACGAAGTATTTGATCATGTTTCCATGCCTTGCATTCAGCCGCGATGACCGACTCTGATGGTGTTCTATCGATGCCGCTCATGACAATGCAGCGCAAAAATACGGGTCTTTACCGGGGTGTATGATCTGAAGGGTTTCTACGTTTGCTTTGCTTTCCGTTGGCATGCTGTATTGTTCTATGTTTCTATTCTCATTGTTTCGGTTGGGTTTCTGGGCGGGGTATGCATATTAGGACGTGTTAGCATGGTCCATCGCTACATGGTGCTTATATCTTGTTCCTTTCTGCTCGTGTCTCTTACGCTTCATGTTGGTGTTTTTTTCTTATCCATTCCATCTACCACATCGGTAGTCTGTAACGATAAGTTTATCCTAAAAAAGATGAGTCCATGAGTATCGGTGCATACGAATCCGTAGAAAACAGATCTCAGTAGAGAGATGGTCTAGATGGTGAGAGAGCATATTGTTTGGTGGAGCAGTTCAGTCCCTTAGATTGGTGATCGGCGTCGGGGAGATTCTCCGCGCCGTGCTGCTCGGTGACGTCGACGCGATCCTCGTACCTCTTCGGAACAAAACAATTGTTGCGGCGGTTCTCCTGTCGCCGCACCTCCCAATTCCCGAATTTTACAGAACGATCAAGGAACCATGAATCCTGACGATGGAGCAGATCCTCATAGGGGCGTCGTGTCAGAAGTGATGGTACCAATTCCTCTCCCTTCTCCCATCCATCGTGGCAGACCAGGAACTAACGACTTTCGCAAACACGCAGCACACAGTGACAGAATATCTCCGACCACTTGTATCGAAACGAGCCCAAAAGATCTATTTAGGGGCCTTTCTATTCTTCTGTACGGCTATAGCCATGATCGTCACATCGACGGTCGCGTATGGGGTCTTCTACTACAGGTTCATCCCGCAGGCGGGCCTTGAACGGATTGTTCACTTGCAGTTTGGGTGAGTTAGGGTCTATAATATGAGCAGACATTGAGCTCTTGATGCCTTCGCTTGATCTATGGTTATGACTGATGATTGACTCTTCCTGTTACCGAATTCTAGCGAAGGGCCTCCCTGGGGAATCGCAAGCCTGGGATCAGACCTGGTTTCATCCCTGCCGTACGATGTCCAGGTGGAACTCGAATTACCACGAACACCCTCCAATCTCGCCGCGGGAAATTTCATGCTAGATTTGGCCCTTCTTTCCCGTCCGTTCACGTCTACTCCGCAGGATACGAACACTTCGATTACGACTCTCTCCCACTCGCGCCGCCCTGCCATTCTTACCTATGCTTCGCCGTTGGTGGACACCGCTAGTAAGATCTCGTTCATGCCGTTTTACGTGCTGGGATGGCACCACGAAGCGGAGAAGCTACAAGTGCCGATGATGGAACGAGTGCAGTTCGCTCGTGGTTCGCGCAACATACCAGAAAGCTTGCGCTTGGAGCTGCACAGCTCGGAGATAATGCAAGTATACAAGGCGAAGGTCATGTTCCGGGCGCGGTTTACGGGCTTGCGGTATGTCCTTGATACCCCTTATATTCTCGGTCTCTTTACGATGCTGATAGGAAGGTTAGCTGGGTCATGTATAACTGGAGACTCACTTCATTCGTTGTCTTCGGGTTCCTGTTCTGGAGCATCAGCATGGCTTCTGCAGGGCTCGCATGGCTATTTTTAGCATCGCTTCTTAGCAGTCGGGATGACACATCCGGTCCTGTTGTTGTTAAGGAGGAGGATCGCAGCGCTACAACCCTCATCAAGAAAGAAGAGGAGGAAATTGACGAGCCGCTTTCCGATGTACCGATTGCGGAATCCTCCAACGCAGCGGGGAAAAGGAGGGCAATAGAGCCTGAGGAGGCCGTGAAGGAAGAGGACGAGGAAGATGATGACGAGGAAGGTGATGTGGGAAGTGCAGATGAAATTGCCCTAAACAAATATCTGTTTGAAGGGGACGCAGAAGATGGCCGAGGCGAAGAGCCTCTGGAGGCTTCTGGCTCAGGCACAGCCAGGGAGAGTGCTCACGCCCGAGGAGTGCAGAGACGGCGAAGCCATATAATTCAAGAGTAACAGAGATAGGCATTGTAGCTATTCCTTTCGAGATACCCAATACGATACAGTTGTGTACTGGTTTGAATGTTGATGAGTACTGGACTGCAGATGGAGCGATGAATATAGTTAAGGCAGAGTAGTTATCGATAACGGGTGGAGAAGGAAGAGAAAGGCGGGGGAATATCGCTGCCGCCCAACTCTGCCTTTGTCTGCCCCTCCACCATCTCTTCCTTCTCTCCTCAACCCCTGTGTCTCTCGCTCCAGACTCCTCACGCCCATACAATGCATATCTTAGTAAGTGGCCTATCTTAATCTCGCAGACCTCTTCTGGAGCAAGACCAGATTCATTTCCCCCAATCCCCCTCTGGACTCATGCTGATCACCATCCTCCGCCTATAGGTTGTCAACGACGACGGCCCGCCGTCCAACCAGTCCTCGCCGTACATCCATTCCTTCGTCCAATCGTTGCAGTCTGCCGGGCACATTGTATCTGTCGTTCTCCCCCACCAGCAGCGATCATGGATCGGTAAAGCCCACTTGATCGGGGCCGCCGTGAAGCCAACCTACTTCCGTCCCGGTACTCTGCACAAAGACGATGGGACCACACACGAATTCCCTCATGGCATGAACGAGGGCGATGATGACAACTACGATGGAGATGAATGGATTCTTGTGGACTCCACACCGGCCAGCTGTGTTCAGATTGGCCTGTACCACTACTTCCAAGACCGTGGCCCGATTGACCTCGTGGTGTCCGGTCCGAACTACGGCCGGAATTCAACTGCTCTCTTCGCCCTGTCCAGTGGAACCATTGGCGGTGCTATGGAGGCAGCAGTCTGCGGTAAGCCCGCTATCGCACTGTCGTACGCCTTTAGCTCCAGAGACCATGATCCCGTTGTCATCGCGGAGGCATCGCGTCATGCCGTTCGGTTAATCGAGTACCTCCACAAGAATTGGGCCCACGGTGTGGATCTATATACTGTCAATGTCCCCCTGGAGCCTGGTGTGAGCCAGAACAAGGTGCTGTACACCAACATGCTTGATAACCGCTGGTCATCGGGCAGCTGTTTTCGCGCGGTCGATGCCTCGGCCTCGGCCAATACGCCTGAGAAGCAGGAGCACGACGTGCGACACCAGACTGTGCCCGCGGGAGAGAAGGCGCCATCAGCCGTGGATGGAACGACCCCATTGAAGAGATCTCGCATCCAACACAAACACTTCGAGTGGGCGCCAAACTTCTCGGATGTGTACAGAAGTGTGGAGGAGGGTGCTCCAGGGAACGACGGCTGGGCTGTCAAGGAGGGCATGACCAGGTTTGTACAGACCCTATCATTTTGCTGGCCAAACCGCTAATGCGTCACAGTGTTACGCCGCTTCGAGCCAATTTCATGCATACACCTGGAATTCAAGGAGAGATTACGCTGTGAGTGGAATGATGCTGAGTCGCGGCGTGGTTGCATATAACATAGAATTTGCGCGTCTGTCAGATATACAAGCTAGTTTATGCATCTCGCGCTCTGCTGTTCGCCCCTTTGACTGATGTTTTTGCTACCACTTTATCTTGGTCTGTCTGTTATGGCTGGTATTCTGATAGATTCCATCTCATGTAGACCGGATAATAACACTGAGCCTACCTTCTATTCTCTCGTCGACAGCGACGACTCCTATGTCCAGAGTCTGATGGAGCGGGCGCTCCAGTGTCGTCTTGGAATTGGTCAATGTCGCGCCATTTCATCTCTCGCTGACCTTCCCTCTCGCACTACGCCTATCTTCCAGTACCGCGAATACGAACGGCTAGACTTCGAGCATGTCATGATGCACACCTCCACCTCTCTCGCCAACGCCTATATCATCCGCAAAGCCCTCATCCGCAAACACTACCTGTCCAACACCGTCATCAACTGGGTAACGAAACACCCGGACAGCGTCCTAGCCAAGCACTTCAAGCCTGGCTTCGACTTCGAGCTCGACTACGCCGAATTCCTCGACGACGCCCTCCTCGAGGCCTACGAGCTACGCGACAGCCTCGCCAAGAACGAAACCCTCCCCGACGAAGAAAAAGAATGGTGGATTCTCAAACCCGGCATGAGCGACCGCGGCCAAGGTATCCGCCTCTTCAACAGCGAAGACGGGCTGCGCGAGATCTTCGAAGAATGGGAAGTGCCCGACTCCGACGATGAAAGCGGCTCCGAACGTCCAGAGCCCGAAGAAGAAGAAGAAGACGACAACCACGGCGTGGTGACCTCTCAACTCCGCCACTTCATCGCCCAACCCTACATCGACCCCCCACTGCTCATCCCCTCCTCCCACAACCGCAAATTCCACATCCGCACCTACGTCCTCGCCGTCGGCTCCCTCAAAATCTACGTCTTCAAGGAAATGCTCGCCCTCTTCGCCGCAAAACCCTACTGTCCTCCCTTCGAAGACGAAGACGAAGTCACCGACCTCGCCCGTCATCTCACCAACACCTGTTTCCAGGAAAACGGCCGCGCTAACCCTGACAGCGTCCGTCGCTTCTGGAACCTAGAGGACTACGTCCCCGGTCTCAGCGATACATGGAAACAGAACGTCTTTGATCAAATTTGCGCCGTGAGTGGCGAGATCTTCGAGGCTGCGGCGAGGGGCATGATGGTGCATTTCCAGACTCTGCCGAATGCGTTTGAGCTCTTCGGTGTGGACTTTTTGGTCGATAAGAAGGGTAATGCTTGGTTGTTGGAGTTGAATGCTTATCCGGATTTCGCCCAGACTGGCGAGGATTTGAAGGAGTTGGTTGTGGGTAGGTTGTTTGAGGAGACGGTCGATGTGGCTGTTAAGCCGTTCTTTGGGTTGCAGGAGGATGGGGATGTGAGTAGGGGGACGGAGATGTTGAAGTTGGTTAGGGATGTGGATTTGGGGAGGAAGGCTTAAACTATTTGCCTTCTTTGTCCTTTATTGATTGATTCTGGTTTATGTTACTTTCTGGCGTTTCTTATGGTTATCTGTTCACTTATATAAAAGGGGTGCTGGATTACTCTGGGTATTGTTGGTAGATAGAGGTAGAGGACTAGAAAAAGTTTTGGATTTCTTTAATAACATCATAGTACATAAGAACGGATTTTCTATCATACCAACAAATATCCTATCCCTCTGAAATAGTTCAATCAAAAGGCCACCACCGCCGATACTCCTCCCTCTCCTCCTCACTCTCTCCCAACTCCTCCACAATCCGATCCCTAACTTCCCCCAGCGCAGCCCTACACTCCTCATACCTCTCATTCTCAATAAGCCCCTTATCCGGCCACAAACCACCCAATTGCTCCTTCACCCCATCGACAAGCTCCGTCCCCGCCACCGCTCCATCACAGGCCACTTTAATGCGCTCGATCTCCGCATCTGTGAACTCAAACGGGAACGGGACATCACCAGTATCTGGTAAATCTCCCCAATGATCCTTCATATCAACAAGCAGCGACATGAAATGCGCCTCGCCATACTCGAACATTCGATGAGCGAGGAATATCAACCTGTACGCGGGCGTCTTTCTGAACTCGATAGCTCGATATAGAGCTGGGTTCTTGGCGCGCGTGAGCTTACGCCATCCGATGAATAAGTTCTGGGTGGTGTATTCGCGCACTGCTGCGGCTCTTTCCTGGGGAGTGAGACCGGAGAGATTTGGTCTAGGTAGTAGGTCGAGCGTCTCGGGTTCGAGGCCATCCGTCCAGTCGAGGAAGGCTGGATCGGGATTGTGGTTGAAGAGAGGGGAGACATGGGTTGATTGCCAGTCGATTATGGAAGTGATGGATTCGGGGTTCTGCGGGTCGATGAAGATGTTGTCGTCGTGGAGGTCGTTGTGCCAGAGGTGGGGGTTGGTTAGGGCTGTGTCTTTTGGGATGAGGGATTCGAGGATTTGGAGGTAGTGGGATAAAGCTGTGAGTTTGGTTTGGGCCGCAGAATAGGGCTAGTTGTTTGGGTGGGTGCAGGGATTGGATAGCTTTTGTTTCTCGTGTCCCAACTGCTTGCAGAAATTGGAGTATATCGGACCCTACGAACGTGTCAGCGACTGCTCGCAGATGGGAGAGATTCTGACGTAGGATGTACATGGTCCTCTATCTATATCCAAAAGTGAGCGGCTCGCATCGCACCAATCGCGGCCTGTGGTAGGGCCGATGGCGAATTGTGAATCCTTGACGGCTTTGCCGTTCTTGATGTAGTGGGTGTCTTCTGGTGGTGATACTTGGATGTCTTTTGCGTAGTATAAGCTACCGTAATGCGAGAATAACACGCTCAGCCATTTCTTCTGTAGACGTATCACGGCAAGAAGCACTTGTAGCTTCCGAGGTAGTTTCAGTGTCTCCCAGACATGAGAAAGAGGAACGCCGGCAGCTTTCTCCAAGATGATGAACTCAGCCCCAACTGGGTGTGATTGTGCATGCGAGTTCCATGTATAGACACGAGGCACTGGTGTTTCAAGCACGTTTCTGGCCTCCCAGGGTCAAGTTGTGTTAGCTGGACCTGGCATGCATAAATACAAGTCAGGATATACCTACAAAGTCCATGGTAGCAACCTCGCTAGCTGTCGTTAGATGCGGAATACCAGCATTCGGATTAGGAACCTTGGCTACGACTTCGCGGCCATTGTCCATCGACATGAGAAAGGCCTTGTTGAACATGCCGTCGGGGTACTTCTGTATGGAGGTGCAGTGAGTGGCTCCGACTGATTCTGCTGCGACACGGGCGAGGCTGTTCATGTCGAACTGGATTTCGCGCATGCGGCGGTTTATGGCTTCATCGACGAGAAAGCGGCCTCGTGTGAATTTGAAGAATTCATCGTGGTTGTTCCAGTCTAGTAGTGATTAGACTCGGTTGGGTTGTGTTGGGGTGGCTTGTTTACCTGTCTGAGAGGTGGTTCTGCTGGCAGGAGTGGCATTGTAGTAGAGCGTCATTGTTCTTGAGAGTGAGCGACATGGTTGCTTTAGGGCTTTTTGGGTGTATTGGACATGACTGTAGCGACAAAGAGGTGCGGATGGGCATCGGTTCATTGTTCATGGAATGTGATGGCTTGAATGATGTCCCTGCCCGTAAACAAAGGTACGTCTAGTTGAACATGTGATCTTCAGATTATCCAGTCAAGGACTCAATATAGTAGCAAATCCAGTTGAGAAGTGGCCGCCTCTACGCAAATTAAGGATGCTGCAGCAGCAGTGTGGATGATAAGTAGGCAAGAGGTTGACAGGGATAAGGGCTATATTCCATTGACGTCCCGTCTACAGCCAATGCCCGATCATAACACTAATAGTATATAGACCAACAGAAGAATTATCCAAACCTCTGCTTAGCCAACGTCTTCAACCACCCAATCGTCTCCTCCTCCTTCTGTCTATATTGTTGCAATCTCTCCTCACGCTCCGCCGCCCGTGCCCGGAGTAATTCCTCCCTTCGAATCTCCCGCTCATTCTTCTTCCGCTGCTCCCTCTCCTTCGCCTTCTTCAACGAATCCAGATCATTCTCTCCAGACCCCATCAACTCCTCCTCCGGCGCTGCCTCCGGAGATCCCCCACGCTTCGCCTCCGCAAAGGCGCGATTACTCGCCGCAGCCTCCTGTCGCTTCTCCATGCGTCGTTCATGAGTCCCCGGTTCCGCGCGCGGCGCTACCTCCTCCTGCAAGTATTTGACCTCGGACTTGTGTGAGCGCAGTTCGCTGCGATATTGGGCGCGCGAGTCCTGACGTGCCGCAATTGCGTCTTCGGCTGCTAGTTCTACTTTTTGTTAGCTTTCCTGTCCGTATCAAGTAGACCCCTTTGCCCCCCATCTAGCAGACAAAAGAGCCCCAGCAAGGAGGGGACGAGACATACCCTTCCGCAACTCCAAATCCTGCATCGTAGGTATCGTAGGGCCCGAGGACGGTCCTCCACCACGCCCAGATGTAGAAGGAAGCACCGGGCCGTATTCATCGTCGTCCTCATCTTCCTCCCCTTCAACATCCCTATCTCGAGTCTCATCCCCTCGCTCATTCTGTTGCGATTCGCCCCGATAACCAGTATTCGTACTCGTCTGCGCCTGCATTTGCGCAATATTCGTTCTCGCCTTTTCTAACGTAGCAGGGTCATACCACCCCTCTGCTAACTCCCCGCGGTTCCTGTAGTAGCGCCATGTCAACTAAATCCCGTCCTCGCATATATTTACCCATCCAAAGAACCAAGTTCGTACTCTGCTTACCATTTCCTCATAAAGCTCTTCCACCTCCCTTTCACCTCATCCTCCGGCAAATCATCCATAATTATCCCCTTCTGAATGTCCAGGTACATATCGAACATAGGGGCGTAGTGCTCCAGGTCATATTTGGTGAGTTCGCGCGAGTTGAAGGGAAGGACTATGGGGGCTGCTGGTGCCAGTTCTGCTTGATCTTTTGAGCGGGAGGTATGGCGATCACGGCGGTGGCGATCACGATCATGGTCGCGGTGGCGGTCGTGTCGGTGATGGTGATGGCGGTGGTGGTGGTGATGTCTGCTGCTGCGGTGTCTGTCCGATCTAGAGGTAGGATCGCGATTGGGAGAGCGTGAGCGTGTGCGAGAGCGGGTGTGGGAGTGGGTGCGATCTCGGTGGGAGCGTGAGTGGGAGTAGGAGTCGCGGGTGGACATGGTTCTTTCTGGGTGGGGGTTGTCCATATCTGAGGATTGTCATAAGGTGCAAAATATTGGTGAGACTTGTGAGGGTGAACGGGACTGACGTCGAAATGCCAAGCTTTTGGGTGCGGCGGATGGGCGTCAATCATGGAATGTCTATCGACTGATAAGAGCGGGTCTGCCCTGTGGCTCTATTCTGTTTCGTGGTCGATAGGAATTGAACGAGCATGTTGTTTCTAAGATCCTTTCTTGTATATAATCGGGATACCTATGGGTAGAAGTGGTGTTGCGACATGGTACTTTCACGTGCTACATACTGTACATCCTCCGCACCCATCCAGCAACGCCTAGACATCTCATGCGTAAAGTTCGTTCGATAACCTCCATCTAATTACAAAATTGGAACAATGCAGTTCGCTGGAAAGTGAAATCTTCAAAGTATCTGGTATGTGTTCAGCTAGCCGGGGCGCTCGACTCAGGAGCCGCGCTAGCCGTGTTGTCCGGAGTGCTGGTGGAAGGGGTCGAGGGAGATGCGGTCTTGGAGCGGTTGGCAGCAGCCATCTGCCAGGCAGGAATGGAAGCAGAACGGCCGAGGTGCGACAGAGGGCTGTTGCTCGCCGAGGTAGTGCTAGGGCTCGCGCTTGGCTGTGCTGATTGAGAGGGCTGCTCGGTTGATGCTGGCGCGGCGGGCGTACCATTGACCGGGGCCGCAGCGGCGGGAGTTGACTCCTCCGCAGGTCGAGAAGCAGTAGGAATGCTCATACCGCTGAACCGTCCAGGAGCAGGAGAGGTGGCGCTGTTGCCGCTGCCACCAAGTCTATTGCCCAGCAAGACCTTCAAGCTCTTCAATTCAGCACCAAGCTCCTTCAACCGTGTCTCATTGCCTTCCCGGGCACCTTCCAGCGCCTTGGGGATCGCATCCTTCAGTGACTTGACCTCGTCGCTGATACGACGGGTCTCATCGTCCCTCCGTCGGGAGGCGTTCTTCATGTCAGAAACGAGGTTCTCAACTTCCCGCAGGGCGGTGTCTAGCCGTTCTGTGCGCGTCTCCTCCGCAGACTTCAGTGCGGCAGTATCTGTGGACAGTTGTTCGATCAAGGCAAATGCGCGATTGAATTGCTCATCAATGTGTTCCTTATCTTGTTCGAGCTGGGGTGGAGTGGGGGGTGCGATTAAAGGTGAGATGTAGCGCTTAACCAATGTCAGCATGTTTCGATTGATCGAGCAACGTGAGTAATGAGACACCGACCTTGGTGATCGTGTAGAGTCCGTAACCTACTCCTCCCATCACCGTAGCCATAATGAACCAGTCACGCCAGTCCCGTTTCGGGGGCCTTGCGACGTAAGATTAGTTGAATACAGTATGAAATGGACATGAATCGAGACTCACTCTGGCGGAGCCTGCCATTGACCATAAGGAGGATATCCATAGCCTGCAGCAGGTGGAGGAGGAGGTCGGTAGACAGCTTGTTGGGGAGGCGATTGATAGCCAGATGATGCGGTTACGGCGGCAGCTGCTGTAGACGGATCTTCACCTGCTCGGGCGAGCGCAACATCGATCTCTTCTTTAGTCAGGTTCTTTGACTGGAGAAATGCGACTCGCTTCTCAATTGGCGAGGCGGCGACAGATGGGTCTTTGAGGACTGCAGAGACATTAGACGAGCACATGAATCAACATGAAAATGGGTGTGTTGAGCACATACAGGTGACCTAGCGATCGAGCGTGAGGGTCAGCTCCGATTCCGGCTACAAGATATTAATCATAGATAAAGGCGGCACTTACAGCAGAGGAGATAAGCTCCTCGCGAACCATGATGGGCAAATTTCCTAGGAGCAGTAGCTCTAACTGGGTGGTAACAGGGTTATTCTTAGCAGGAGGAGTGTTGGGGGAAGGATCCGAGAGAAAGTAACGATGAGGAGAAGGGGAGAAGAGAGACACAGGATGAGGAGGCGATGGAGCGGCCCTTCCCAAATCAGATGGACCTCGGAAGTAGCGCTGGTAATTTACGTGGTTCTGGTTTCGTACCGCGGCGGAGATTCCCGTGACTTTCCCCAGAGTCTCGTGATAGCGCCTGGCCCAATCCGGCAGTTGTTCCCTGGACTTCACCGCCTACTTTGTTCGGACGAAAGAAAGTGGCATGTCTTGTTTACTTTGATTATTATGATTATTGCTGCCCGCTCGGTTGCTACTGCCATCCACAACTCTCCCGCCTCCTGTTGCGCCTCCGTCGCCAACTTGGTGTCGCGCCTCTTCTGGATATATCGATTTTGGTACAAATTGCATACCCTTTGCAAATCAGCCGTTTTTCAAGAGTTTGCGCTTGCTAGGGTTGTGATTGCCCGCCGCAGTCGCGGCTTTTTCCGTCATCATGTCGCAGGATACAGGATTGTTCAGCATCAGGCGCCCCCGCGAGGTATGTACCTTGCTTCCTTCAGGCCTGCCCCTCTTGTATAATACTAATATAGCTGTCTCAGTCTATGGCGATGGGTAGCCAAAACTACTCTGCTCTTCCGCAACCTTCCTCGGCCTTGAAGCGCACCAGCTCAATCGGATACCAGAACCCTCCTTTCACGTCTCAGCACACGCGTATGTCGCTTCTCAACTCCGCCAGTCGTCCTCAACAGCCCAACTTCCAGCGGTCCTCTTCAGGTGGAGGCTTTGGTGCCGATGCCGGTCTCTCATCAGTCAGACGCTCCGTCTCCAGTAACATGTTCCATGGCCCTAGTGTCGGGCGCCCAAGCTTTGCTCCCGGCCCGATGTCGTCGCAAAGCACAGCAGGATCGCAAGGATTGCAACGAAGGAGTAGTGTATTCTCACGACCATCCGTGGGTGGCGCCATGGGTCACCATTCTTTCTTTACTCAAGTTCCGTCAGTTGCTGGTGTCCCCAGAGACCCACGGCCGCTCAGGGATAGGTCTTTCCAAGCTCGCATTGGACAAGAGCTGTTGGAATACTTGACGCATAACAACTTTGAGCTCGAAATGAAGCATTCACTGGGGCAGAATACCTTACGCTCTCCTACACAAAAAGATTTCAACTACATTTTCCAGTGGCTGTACCATCGCATTGATCCTGGGTACAAGTTTCAGAAGAGCATGGACGCGGAGGTTCCACCCATTCTCAAGCAACTACGTTATCCCTACGAAAAGGGTATCACCAAGTCGCAGATTGCGGCTGTGGGAGGCCAGAACTGGCCGACATTCCTCGGTATGCTGCACTGGCTTATGCAACTGGCCCAGATGATGGACAGATATCTGCTTGGAGAATATGATGAAGCGTGCGCAGAGATGGGAGTCGATGTGTCTGGTGACCGGATTATCTTCCGTTTCCTGACAAGTGCCTACCATGATTGGCTGCAAGGCGGGGAAGATGAGGATGACGCAACAGCAGAGAAGAGACTGGTCCCTCACGTTGAGATGATGGCCCAGGAGTTTGAGAGAGGAAATGAGAAATACGTTCAAGAGATGGAATCTTTGGAAGCCGAAAACCGAGCGCTACGTGACCAGATCGAAGAGATGGAGAAGAATGCTCCGGATATGGCCAAGTTGGACAAGCATTTCAGGATTCTGGAGGACGACAAGAGGAAGTTTGAGGACTACAACCAGAATGTCCAGGGCAAGATCGAGAAATATGAGACCCGCATCAAATTCTTAGACGACGAGCTCAAGAAGACGGAAGATGACCTGCAAGCCGCCGAAGAGGAGCGGGCTGGGCTTCAGGCCAGTGTTGACCAACAAGGCCTGACAATCCAGGATATCGACCGCATGAACACAGAACGTGAACGCCTGCAGAGAAATCTTGACGATACGGTCAACCGACTGGAAGAAACCCACGCGCGGGTCATGGCAAAGGAGGCCGAGGCTAGTAGGAAACTCGAAGATTTGGAGGAAATCGTCAAAGTCTACAACACGCTCGGATACCAGAATAGCTTGATTCCTTCGTCAGCTGTCAATGCCAAGGGCGAAGATTACGAACTTAGTCTCAACGTCAACGAGAGCAATTTCTCCGCTTCTCAGGTCGGTGGTCTAGCGAACCGAATCTCAACCGATGGAGATCGCCTATTGGCGGACCCGTTCACCGGTTATCACCCAGCACATTTGCTCAACCTCGATCTCCGCGGAATCGTGCGCAGCAATCTGCAGGCCCTCCGGAAGGAGATCAACGAGCGCCGGAAGCGTGCCATTGATGATGACTTGGAAAGACGCAATCTCCTGGACAACATCAAGGAAGCAATGGACGAGAAGCGAAGCGAGGTTGAGGCTCTGGAGCACAAGGCACGTGCCGCTGAAGAGGAATTCGAGCGGCTCAAGGAGGTCACCACCACGCAGAAGCTCGCGTCCGATGCACAGATTGAGAAGATGGAGAAGGAGCTGGCCAAGATGCGAGCCACGTTGGGCGAAAGCGTTCAATTGATGGAGCAGCGCGAGATGAATACGAACATTGAGTATGAGCAGTTGACTCTCCGCGCTAACGCGTTGAGAGAGGAGCTGCACACCAATGTGGAAAGCATGCTGAACGATGTCATCCGCTTCAAGGTCCATGTCCAAAAGGGCTTGGAAGACTACGAGAGCTTCGTTGTCGACGAGGTCGAGCAGGAATTGGGTGGTGACATGCAGTATGCAGATGAGGACGTTGAGATGGGAGTTGACGAGGAGGAAGAGCTCTAAATGATATTTCTCTGTATTCTGCGCCACGATGACGGTTCGAGTATGATGATTGATGATTTCGGGAAGCTCTGGAGTCGCAGTGTCATAAACATTTGTTCATTCTGCTGATATCGTTGTCTACTACTGGGGCGCTATTGGGAGCTAGCTGGTTGGGATTATCTGTTATGGGTATTTTGGGATGTTCGGTTGTGGTTTCTATGTTGTTTATGATACCTTTGATGTTCAAATGCGCCATTAGTGTTGATAATTGCTAGAAGTGGGTGTACATACCATTCTTTTTACAGCTGTCTCATAATGCTCCAATCTCTAGTGCAAACTAGTTCAGAGGGAGGGATATCTTCATCTATCCCAACAACTGTAACTGAAGTAGTCCATAATGCTACCACATACGATCAGTAGTAGATATCTGTTTAAAAAGCACAGCAATGCTTTATTGAATATGGTAATATAATACATAATCTATTATCGCTCATCTATAAACAACCCATGCATATATATCTCCCAAAACGAAAATAATACATAGTACACCCCCCAAAAGGACACAGACAGATAGACAGACAGATCAATCATGGTATAAACACGCCCCTACCCAAATGCTCAAATCAAACAGCCACAGCCACAGCATCTACCTTCTCCTTCTCCTTCTCCTTCCTCTCCATCTCCCTCCTCAACTTGCCCCCCTCCCTCCGTCTCCTATACACAATCCCCCCAACCTCGCGATTGATCTCACGTCTCCGCATCCCAAAGGCCTCGAACCTCTTGATACAGAAATCCAGAACCTCTTCAGCAGGATTATTCTTCACCACCCCATTCTGCTTCTCGCTATCAAACGCATAAAACTCCGCCACAGCAGCCTGCGCGATAATCCTCACCGTCATGGGATTCGGCATCGTGGCTTTCTCCCTGGCTCGCTTGAAGTACTTGGCATCGAAGTGCGGATCGCCCTTGGCCGGGTTCCGCTCCTTGCCGAGATAGAATCTCTCGATACCTCCTTCTTGGAGACGGCGCGAGGTGGGGGACTTTGTGTCGAGACACCATTTGTCGTAGAAGCGTTGGCCGGCGGCGCTGCCGCGGGTGTCGACTATTGCGGAGAGGAGGGTGTGGAAGGCTGTTGTGGGGATGTAGGGGATGGCGTTGCGGGAGGGATTGTTGGTGGTGGTGGTGGTGGGTTTGTTGTGGGGGAGGGAGTTGGAGAGGGAGGCGGCGAGGTCGTGGAGAGTGCCTGGGATGGAGAGGAAGATGTTGTGGAGGCCGGAGATGGCGCGTTCTTGGAAGCGGGAGGTGGCGATGTGGGTGGGTTCGTTGTAGACCCCCGTGAGGAGGCGTGAGAGGAGGTCCTTGGCGCGGGTGAGGGAGGTGGTGGTTTCTTGGAGGGTTGAGGGGTCAGGGGGTGGTTGTTGTCGGTAGATGGTGTGCTCGAGACGGATGATCTCTGCGGCGAGCGCGGTGGCGTTGCTCTGGCCCCAGGATTTGGCGCGGTAGTCGCGGAGGTACTCGAAGAGTTTGGTGACTGCGTCCCATTGGTGTAGGGCAATGCGGGAGTTGAGGAGTGCGCGGAGGGTGTTGGAGGAGAGAGGTTGGGAGAGGGATTGGACGACTGCGTCGCAGAGGGCAGCGTTCCGGGTTGCTGTAGCGTAGCGGATGATGGAGGGAGCTAGGGCTTGGTCGCCGTAGGAGCGGGGAGGGACTGGGGGGCCATCGATGTCGTCGGAGTAGAAGAGCCAGTTACCGAATGTGAAGGCGCGCGATACGGTGATTAGGTCGATCAGCTCGGCCAGGGTGACGCTGGACAGTTGCGGCATGGATGATTCGAAGGGTTCGGCGGAATTCAAATCATCAAGGTCGAGGGTAGGGAGGACGACGCCAGGTCGATCGACGCGCGAAGAGAAGAACTCGTCGATGCGCTGCATCTTGCTGCTGTCAACGATGGCTTGCAGCCAGGAGAATGCGTTCAAAGCGTCACCACAGAACCGCTTCGACGAATAGAACCGGATGTTGTACTCGATCAGTCCGACCAAGGCAGCTGTGTCATCGTACAGCTGTGATTGACTCACTCGGGCCAACGCATCTTCATTGATGTGGTGGAGGTCGGTATCCCAGGGCGGAACGACGCACGGCGTAATCCTGAGGAAGTCTTCGAATATCCGGGGGTCGGCTTCCGGTTTGAGGCCCCCTGATTCCACAACACGCACGGTGAACCAGTTCGATGTTCTGCGCGTGGGCAGTAATTTGCCGTCGTCCGTTGACGGAGCAATCGCGAACTTGAGACTGGAAGCATAGCGCAAGAGGGCGCTCGGCGACATACCTCTGAAACCAAGGCCTAGATATACCTGATTGGGAAGGCTATCCAACAAGGCCGCGGCCACTTCAGTACTCATGGTTCGCTTTCCGAGCCCGTGGAAAGGCGTCGGACTATGCCGCTTTCGCAGCATCGTAGAGCGCTCCTGGTGGCCGGGCTGTCGCCAAGTCTCTTCCTGGTCGACTTTAGTCTGCCAGACCGACCCAGAGTCATCGAGTAAGGGCTTCCAGCTCTGAAACTTCCAGGCCTGATCTCCTGCCTTGCTTGTCATTCGATCAATTAGCCATACTCCCTCCTCGATGTGACCATGTTCGACACAGCACCAGAGGATAAACTCCAGCCAAATCTCCGGCCCAAGCTCACGAACCCCCATTTTGAACGGAAGATAAGGCGAATCCTCGCCAGCAGCAGCCGCTTTGGCAGCAACCTCCGCTTCATGAACCAGCCACGCAGCGTCAGACAGGACACTCATGATATGACTGGAAAGCAGATGCATTCCCGGAGGTCGGAAGGTAGCTTGATAACTATCCGGCGGGACGTACTTATACACTCTATCGGAGATAGCATCAGAGTGGTGCAGCCGAGCTAGAATCTGAAATACATGAGACATAGCCAGCTTCGACTCGTTAGGCGAAGCATCAGCAGCCTCCAGCACGATAGACCCCAAACTCTGCCACACCTCAGCCATAAATCGTTTCGAATGGTCATCCGCATACGGCCGCTCCGTGAAAGCATCCAAGCTCGTCATATCCGACACCGGCAGGGCATTCGAAGCCGCCTGCGGAATTTTCGGAGCCTGCGACTCAGACCTATCCGTAAGCTCATCCAGCGAGAGCCCCTGTCCCAGACCCCAATCATAGCTAGACAAAGGTCTAGAAGGTATCGTGACCTCCTTAAGAGAGTCCGCAGCATCAAGCAAACGATTAATCAAGAACTGCACAGCGGGCCAATTATTCAACCGGAAACCAACATACGCCAGCAAATCAATCTTCCCGGAATCCCGCGCATGCAACAGTAAATTAGACAATTCAATCGTCTGCGCAAAATAAGCTGCTGTATCGTTCCGAACCACATCGTCATCCGAAACATCGTTAATGTTTGCATGACCACCGTCGCTATCTCTCCGCAACGAAGATGGCAGGTACTGATCCAGCCTTGCGATCCAAGCCTCCGGATTACTCTGATCTGGTCCTGCGATAGGGCATCTCTTCTTTTCCACCCTAACATAGTCTTGCAACAATTGGCGATTGATCGGAGGACCGGCCCCGACGGAGAATTGGCGACTCCATTGTCGTCGCCTATCGGGGAAAGGTCCCCGGCTTGCGGACGCGAGTGTGTGTCGGGGGACGAGACGACGGAGGATCGAAGGGTGGAGGACGGAGGAAGATCCGCGGTCCAGGCACGGCAGACGAGCTGGACTCAGGCACCTTTTCATGACACGACGGAGGAGGTAGCGGAGGAGACCTGCGGGCGGAGGAAATCCAAATCTCGATGTGACCGTCGGACGGACGTTCTGTGGCGCATGTCTAATCGTTGAGATGGGTCGGCATTCCTCGAGCTGAGCGGACAAGGCGTAGGCCTGGCGATAACCGGCGACTTTGAGGGGAGCTGTGGGAGGGAAGCGAAAGCTTTGGATGCTTTTCGTCGCCGCCGAAGAGAAAAGCTTCGCCGGGGAAATTCATCCTGCTGAGTCAGCGCCTTGCGGTCAGCCAATCAGAGCATCGCATATTCATATCATGGTCTAGATCGATGGATGGAATTTATAACATAGATATGATGAGGTCCATTTGTATTTCAGTGCACAATAAACTATCATCCTATAAAAAGCCAATCAGACCCTAAAGCTCCGGTCACCTCTATCCCATCTCGTGTATCGTTGCAGTTGCCACCAGTTCCAGCCTGTATCATCCCATTCTATCCCTCACCCTTTAAAACACCAGTCGCCCTGCGTGATATCGCTGACGTAGATAGAAATACATGTAATGTGGACATACTTCAATAGAATAAAGAAAAGAAGAAGAAAAAAAATAAAAAAAAAAAGACTTGAGAGTCAATCCCAATAGACAAGAGGTATAGAGCATCGCTCGCTCGCACGAAATGGGATGTGACAACGATCATAAGGCACGAAATAACCGCAACGAATGGCAAGGTTGCGCTCTCCAAGCAAACAACCAAAGACACTCACGCTTCACCCCATGGCTCCTCGTCGTTAGAGGAAGGGAAGAATGAGCGGATGAATTCCCCGCTGATCGGATCGTACGGGAAATACGAGTCCCCGGGACCGGAGTTCAACTCCGAATTCGTGGACAACGGGTTGGAGGCTGGCATCGCCAAGCCCTGGAAAGCCTGGTCGATCTGAGCGAACAAAATGTTGGGTTGCTGATTCATCTGAAGAGGAGCTGAGGCTGAATTGTTCATATTCGATGCCGCAGGGTTGTAGAAGGTTGGTCCCGCCTGTATGGATTGTTCCGGCTGGTTCGAATAGCCATGTTGTGTACCCTTGAGCGCCTGGCTCTGATCCTGGGCCTGAGGCTGAGCCTCAAAGCCACACGCGGGCAAGTCACTAATGTCGTAGCTCATACCTGCAGCGATCTGCCGAAGGCTGCCATAACATAACTCCCATGCGCGTCGAGATGCAAGACTGTTCTCAGACATGGCGAAGAGCCAGCGAATGGCTTTTTTGGCGGCGTGTAGGAAATTTACCTCCTCATCTGGCATATGAATACTGCCGAAAGACAACTCCAACAGCAGCACGGTCGTTGCCTGCATAAGATAGTGCAGAATGCACCACCACGGGCAAATATCGTAGAGACGAACAGCGTCAGGCACATCAGGGATCAAGTC